GTGTTGTCGCGGATGAGGTAGCTGCCCGGAGCCTTCGTTATACGATCTTATAGGCTGGGGGAGGCGGGAAGACGCCGTGACGAGGTGGCCGAGTGGTTAAGGCGATGGACTGCTAATCCATTGTGCTCTGCACGCGTGGGTTCGAATCCCATCCTCGTCGGGGGCTTACTCTTTTCCTGAGTCCCCTTCATTTCTTTGCAAGACCAGGGGGCTGGGGGAGCTCCAGGCAAACAGGCCCCCGCTCCCCACTGAAAGTTACATCTGCTTTTGAAAAATAATGACTGCTCCAGCTGTAGCGATGTAAAAAGCTTAAATTATTGCACTGAAGTGATTCAGGGAAGCTGCCTCTCTGTGTCTGACCCACCGGCAGGTAACTTTTAAAGTGGATGGAGCACAGAGCTGATTGACAGCCAGGAAAAGGAAAAGCACAGCACTGGGCTCCACGGCAGACCCTGCAGGTGCCCCCTCCCCACCTACCGGCACCAGTCGGTAAAATCCCTTTGAGGCGCTTACTGTTTTAGAGAGAAATAAACCCAAACCAGACAATATAAGCTGGGACACCTCAAAAGTCTAATTGCTTTTGTTCTGAAGTCTGTTGCTCCTCAACCTACCACCTCTCCCCCAGCTCTGAAGCTGGGACAGCTGCAGACACCCTTACTGATGCCCTGAGTTTCACGAAAGATGTATTTCAGTACGTGCAAAGTCTGGATGACACCACTTCCCAGTGTCTTCTTTGGAACACAGGGGACCTGTTACCTCCTCCATTTCACTGAGCTGGCTGTAGCTCAGTACTAGACCAGACCTTAATACATGATGGCAGAAATAAAGTATCTGCAGTGATATTCAAATCCCAAGAGACCCTGAGCAGGATTGACCAACCAACACATCTCTGGATGCTCCAGGAGAGAAAGAAATCACCTGGGTTTCTTGAGCTATTTGAAGCAGTCAGCACTGGTTTATTCTGGCTTGGTCCAGAGTCTTGATCTTAGTAACGTTAACCTGTTTGCAAACAGCCCTGGAACAATGTGGCTCTTCCCAGGTAAAGGTTCTGATTGTTCTCACGGAGCTGGTCATTATCCCTGGTCACATGTATGGAAAAGGGAAAACGAATGATAAAACAGAACATCAGGATTATTATAATAATCCTCCCAGTGGCCAAGAAATGACCACACAAACACCCATTAAAATGAGAACTACCCGGGTATTTATCACCCGGGAAACATATAAAACATAAATTTTAAAAGTCTTGTGGTTCATAGAACAGCTTTTGTTTTTCTTCAAAGCTGTTTGTCACAGAGATGTGGTACTAAAAAAAAGTCCCCACCTGCAGAGGGCTTTTTAGGGAGCCCTGGACACGTGGGCAATCCAGCCCTCACTGAAAACATCTGGGCCCTCCAGCAAGGACGTTTCCAGGGACACCAACTGGGAAAGTGAGCAGTGAAGTAAACAACTCCTGGATCCCAAAAGCAGGAAGAGGGTGGAGAATCAAGACTGTGCATTCCAGTGCTATGAGGCTGGGAACCCATCCCTGTTGAGGTCGTGGCAGGTTTATGACAATTGACCAATGACAAGGGCGGTTGGGGTGTGTGCCCAGAGCGAGGGGCTGGAGAAGGGAGGTTGGGGGGTAAAACAAACAGCATCACCTGCTCATACTGATCCTTGTGTGTCTGTCCATGATGATCTCCCACACTCACCAATCAGAAACAACCTGCCCAAAGTACAGTTGAGACAAAATAGTAAAAAACCAGAAGCTGGCAGACTGACTTTTACTTTGGATTTGTCAAGTACCAGGAGGCAGAAGGGACAGAGAAGGACAAGGTCTATGAAGAGCAGCTGGGTGTTTTTGAGAAGGCAGGAGACATGTCACAGAGGAGGGAACAGAAAAAAAAACCTAGTCAGTCTCCTGATGAATCTCAACATCTGGAGGCTTTCACATCCAAAAGCAGGCCCAATATGAAGGGCCCACTCCCTAGAGTTGCTAACTTTAAATAAATCATTATTTGCAGGAATACTGAAAGGGCAGTTTCAGAGCAAAGCCCACCTTGCTGACAAGCAGCAAGCAGGGAACAGACCAGCTGGACACTGCTCTGGTTTTACCTTACAGAGTTCTCAGGGATAACATTTGAGTTTTAAAATTAGTCCAACAATAAAATACAGTAAAAGGAGTTTTGTGTGACATGACATCCAGCACTTGGGATGACACTCCAGCAGCAATTACTGTGAGATGCAAGAACTTAGCAAGGCAGAAGAAAAAACAGTTGCTGCCTGTGAAGTGCAGGCACTTAGTTATCCATGTGGATAATCACCAGCAGAGCCAGGACAGATTGAGGTGAAAGGCAGAGCTGCCTGTGCCAAGAGATGGGTGCTGTCCTGCAGTGCTTGTTCCCTGCAGGGCAACAGAAACCAGGGCTGTAGCCCCCTTTTCCTGCCCATCTTCCACCTCTCAGCAGTCTGGACACTCCTCCAGCCCCACCAACCCTTCCCACCCTACTCCCAAGTCCTTAGGCAGCTTGTTCACCTCAACCACATTCACAAAATCAATCTGAGCTCTTTACAAGACACTTTCCCGGCCAACGACATCCGTAGGTGTCCAATGTCCTTGGTCATTCCTCCCAGTCCTCCATGGCCCACTGGGGCATCTTGGAGCAATACTCAAACTGGGCTCCCTTGTAGCGCAGGGCGTGCAGGTACATCACCAGCTCCTGGGGGGACGGGTCCCGCCGGCTCATCTTGCACTCCAGGCACAAAGGGTCCCTTTCTGAACCCTTCTCTCCACCACGATTCTCACAGGAGCCCAGTTCTTTGGTTTTTTCAAGCATTTCCAGGTGGCTATCAGAGTTCAGTGGATGAGCTGCTACACTGTGGCTTTCAGAATCCTCAGTGTCCCTCTTGGGATCCTTTGAGTTCTTATCAGGATCCCCATTGTCCTTGGAAGTGCAGGAATCCTCATGTATGGGATCAGCCTCCCCAGACTTCATGCAGTCCCTTGAATTACCACAGTCTTTATTTTCAGCACCAAGGTCCACGTCCACGTCCTCCTCTGAAATGCCCAAGATATCCAGGCTCTGTTTGGAACGATGCTCCTCCACCAGAGCCTTGAGGAGTTCCTCATCTGTTTTATCAATCTTGCCACCTTTTCCCCTCTCGGGGCCCCAGGCTTCCATGTTGTAGATGGGGTCATTGACAATGGGATGGCCCAGGTACTGCAGATGGACCCGGATCTGGTGCGTGCGGCCAGTCTGGGGCAGGCACTTGACCACGCTGGTCCTGCCGTTGTAACTGAGCCTCTGGAAGGTGGTTTTGCAGAACTTCCCTTTGGGGTCCACACGACAGACCCCCACTTTGTAGGAAACCACCAGGATGGGCTCCTGGCAGACCACTTCGTGCTCTGGGAACTCCCCCACCACTCGGCAGACGTACTCCTTTTCCAGCTGCCAGGAGACACAAGAGCAACTCTCAGAAATCAGAAAAACCACCTCTGGCCCAAATATTCCCAAGTCTCATCCAGTTGTTCCTCTTTTCCCACTCAAGGAAATACATGTGTAGGCAACAAACTACCCTAATTTTATTACAATTGCACAGGGAAGGGGGGGAAAAGCCAAAATCAACTATTTCAACCCAAGCTCCTCTCATGTTTTCCCCCCACCTAGTCAGGAAATCCAGACCAGAAGGGCCTGGCCTGTTTCCCTCACATCAAATCCAAGAGGCAGCTCTCAGTGACTTTTGGGTTGCCACCTCAGAAAGCAAACCCTGGGAGCTGAAGCTGGTACCTTACAGCTCCAGCTCTGTCTGGGCCAAGAGCCCCTGGAAAAATGAGGAGAACTTCTAAAACTGAAGAAGTATTAGATGGCTGACACGTTTGCACTTATTTATGGGACTGCTCCCTACCTGGTTTGCACAATGCCAGTCTGCACAGTCCCTTAGGAAAGGAGATTCCTTTCAACCTACTTGCCCCCCTAACTACATTTTTGGTCAGTCTTTTCCTCTAGGTGCCTCTCACGCTTAACGCAGCAGGAACAGTGAGGCAGCTTTAGGAACGTGTGCTGGGAACTTGGCTGACTTTGGACCTGTCCCCAGCCCCTACCACGACAAGAGACTCCCAAAACTCCTCCCGCAGGCCTCTCACCTGTCTCTCCCGAACCTGCTCGTCGATCTTCTTGGAGACCTCCAGGGTCTTGGCAAACATGAGCACCCCGGAGGTCATGCGGTCCAGGCGGTGGATGGTGTGCAGCTCCTGCAGGGCGTGCTCCTTGCCCAGGATGAAGATGACCGTGTTGTGGCGGAACCTGCCGCAGGGGTGCACGGGCAGGGAGGAGGGCTTGTCCACCACCACCACCTCCTCGTTCTCCACCAGGATGTGGATGGGCTGGGCGGTGACCGGCGGCTCGTGCCGATGCACCGTGTTCCTCAGGAAGTCATTGTTCTGCCGGGAGGGAGAGACAGGGGGTGGGGATCCAGCCCCTGGAGCCACCTCACCCCGCCGCAGACAACACGGGGTTGTGTTGCGGGGACAGGGGCAGCCCCTTTGTCCTAGAACCCAGGATGGAATCATGGAATGGTTTGGAAAAGCCCTTTCAGACCCTCCAGCCCACCCGTCCCCCCAGCCCTGCCCAGGCCACCCCTGCCCCGTGTCCCTCAGCACCATCTCCAGGGCTTGGAAACCCCTCCAGGGATGGGGACTCCCCC